GTAAGTTGTGGTTGTATGAGTTACTCTGTGGGACCAGTTATATATTGTAGACAATTTACTTTACCTGTGGTCTCCAAAAGTATATATTTCCACCAAAACCCCCAAAGCTTAAATGTTCTGTAGATGAAGAAATTGATACCACTGACAAATTGATCACCTGAACATTGCAAGGTAACTTTAATGAGGTAAAAAAAGACCTATCGCTGTTCTCAAGAGAACTTTGAGGCAATATGTTTTTAATCTGCTTCAAAAAGCATTGTACATTGTACCAATAAAAATTAATGTAAATGGAGTGCTCCAGACTAAAATATGTTACTTATTTTTTTTTATCGATATGCCTGTATAGATTCTTTTTCTCTGCACTTGAGGCTCAAATCCTACTTTTTGTTTAGATGTTTTAGGTGAATTCTCACAAAATCTTCGTGTTAACAAGACTGATTTCATTGCCTTTCGTTGTTGTGTACTGTGAAATACAATCACCTATTCCACTTTCGGGCATGGTATGAAGAGAGGGGTTGATCTTCCTGTTCCCTGGTCAGAAGAGGCCTAGAATATGATTGATGTATCATTTTGATGCCGGCATAAGGTACACCTGAACACCATCTGTAGTTAGGACTTAAGAGTTATTTTGAGGAACTAGGAAACTAAGTTTATGCAATTGGGCCTTATGTGACAACTGCTGTCCTTTATCTGCTTCCATCCTGCTAGCCATTTGTAACTCAGTTTGGAGTAGGAGGGAAAATTTCAGAGAATAATGAAACTGCCACTTATTTTATGAAAACCAGCATCTGGGAAGGGAGGTGTGAAAAATACTGCTTCTGTGTATGAGCAAGCAGTTTCCATGGAGGTAACTCCCAAATAGATGAGTTTCCCTCCACATGAAACAACATTGCTGCTCTAGTGCATCCTTGCTTTCATATGGGGTTGCTTCCCTGGTATTTTTACCTTTTGTTATTCTTGCTTAGTGGTGCTTGTATTTATTTTTCACTGAGAGAGAAGTAGTACATATATTATATATGCCTTCCTTTCTTCTGAGAGCTGTTAACTGCTCAAAGGGAAAGCATACCCTTATTTATACAGGGAGCCAAAGTCATTTCACTACCTTAAAATTTAGTAGCTAGAGTAAATTAAGCATATAGTTGGATGCAAAATAATGGGTTAGACTACTATGGGTATAGACTATCTGTAGTACAGGACTTGCTTTAGTCCTAGGTAGATATTTAGCTGTTTGTATTGGGGGCTTCATGTGCAGTGTAGCTAGGGGCTATGTTTGTGGTGGTTTTCTTTTTATATATATATATATTTATTTTTAATTCTTATTTTTTAAAGGACTGTAAAATCTGGACACATTTCGTGGATAGCACATTTCCTTCTTAAGTTCACTATATTAATTTCTGCAGATGATTTTTGGACTCTTAACTTCACAGAGCAGGAGATATCTGACTTGGTTTTTTTTCTCCTCTGCCAGTTTATGGATAAATAAAAATTCTAGGGATTTCCATACTAGGGATGAAAGAAATAGAATACTTGGTAATAGATTTTATTTATCTTTCTAGAACTGCTTAACTACCCTTCTGGGAAACATATTAATTTCATTTTAAGTAAGCTGTTTTCCCAGGTCATAATTTTTTAGCTGTTTTTACATCATAATTTGCTTTCCTCTTTGAATTTAATGTCTTGTTATTACCAAAACAGATGACATACAAGATTTAGGATCAAAATTTCAGAGCTTCAAAGTTTTTATTTGCATAATAACTTGATTTAAAAGCATCCTACATGTTGCAGATGCAGAACATATTTAAATAAGCAAGTTTTTAAGAAGTATCTGTTATTAACGGTGTTATACTTCCCACAGCAGTGATGGGTGATTCATGTTGTCTCTAGCATACAGAACCATCAGCCTTTGGATATGAATTGGTATGTCAGTATTTGGAAATACAAATCCTTAAGCTGCAGGTCTTTGCTGTAATCTAGTAGTGCTGTTTAAGATGTTTTGAATTTCTTGGAGCAACATTATCTTAAAGTTGTGTCATATTATTTTCCAATTTCTTTTGTGAGTGTCAATTTTGTATAGATATAGTGGCTTAAGGGGTCAATTCAAAGAATTTTTGCTTGATTTTGGAGTGGGAGAATTCTGTCTTTTTAGACAAAACCTGTCAATATCATTGTCATTTACTCCCATCTGGTTTGTTAATCAGTGTGAATGCAGTCACAGTAGTTGCTTTTTCTTCTCTTTTAAAGGCAAGTGGCATAAGACCCCCTAATTTTAGTAGCAACCAGTTTACATTTTTTTTACTTCTTTCTTTTACAAGATGTTTCCTCAGTGCAGTTTTAAGTCAGACTGTGGAAAAGATGCATTTCCTGGGATTGTTGTTTTGTCAAATACTATGCCATTATTCAAATATGCAGAATGCTACTTGGGAGATTTTAAGAATTTTGTAATTATGTTCGGAATGCATGGGCAAATGAAAAATATATTACGCTATGAATCTACAAATGATAGATATTATGAAGTAACTTTTTCCTCTGGTAAAAAGGGAGAAATTACCTTTGAAGGGGGATGGAGGGAGAAGCAGGATGGGAAATAAAGATTTAGAGGAAGTTAGAACTTCCTGTAAATAAAGTTTTGTAGTATGAATATACTTCTCTACTGTAAATTACACTGTAGCTTATTTCCTGGTGAAGCATACACATTTTTTCAGAGTGTTGGATGACAAAAGCAGGATATTCACTGAAAATTTGGAGGTAAATGTATTCTCTCATTTCTTTGAGAATACTTTGTCCAACTTATAAAATTATTGTTTCAGACTATGCAGTTTTGCCCATTCTTGATTCAAGAATTTATACAGAGGGATATCACCTGTTAGGGAGCAGAAGACATTAGTATAGCATATATGTGTAGTGAAACTGTGCATATGGTAGGTGACTTGAGCAGGAAACACATTTTGGTCCATGGATCGTGAGTAAAATCATTTTTCTGAAGAATTGATAGTTGAGCCATTACATTGCAGATTTTTTTCCATGTATATTTTTTCAATAACTTTTTTTGTTTCTGCTGGTGAGAAATATTAAAATTCTTAAGCCTAAACAACAATTTTATCCTACTCTTGGTTCTCTGCAACTCAAAGTATTTAATTAATGCTTGCAGTTTTACAGGAACAATATGAGCAGGTGAAATTTGAGTCACCAATTCAGAATACTTTAAAGGATTATTTGCACTGCTCTTTAGAAATGATGTTTTGAAATTTACCTGTTATATTATAATTTTCCAGTTATATATTAATCACAGTTCATAGTTTGCTGCCTAGTATGTTTGCCCTTAGCAGAGTGGAGATGTCTGTAAGACTAAAAAGGCAAGAAACAAAAAAAGTATTCAGCTGTGAAATATTGATGATGTCCAATGGAATGGAACCTTGTGAAGGATATGCTCAGTACTTTCCATGTGTTTCTTCTAGCTTGCAGATATGTGATGTAAGAAAAAAATGGGTAAAATTAAACTCTAAATTACAGAAATCTTAATAGCCTATGTAAGTTAACAATCAGAAGTTAAAAAATAAAACATCTTCGTGCAGCAGTGCTACAGGGACCAAAGAAACAGAACTGTGCTGTTTAAATTGTGATCTGCTTTCCAGATGCTACCTTATCTCAAGAAGATCACCATATAATTAATACATTCTTAGAACTTTGTTACTCTAGATAGTTAAGCTGATAATCTGTGAATGTATTAACTGAATAACAACTATATTTGCACTATTGCCAAATAATTTTTGATCAGTTTACGAACAGCTCAGATTTCACAGAGAAGCATATGTGAAATGATTCCAAAGATAATTATAGAATTAACTTGTTCACCTTTCGTTTTTAATACTTCTTAGTTTCTTTCCGTCTTTCTCATAATAGCTCTTGGCATTTCCTTTCCTCTGTTAGTATGTATTTATCGACTTGTTACTCTTTGAAAGTGGTTTATGTACGCTAGCTACCTTCTTTCCGAGATGTTCTCTGTCTTATTTTTTATCCCTCACTTTTATCCAAACAGGTAAAAAAAGATCCAGTCTATAGCCAAATGAGTACATTTTAATTTTATTTCTCATCACTGTTGCACTGAAAATTTGGAGTGCAATTAACTGGGTTTGCTAAGTATAAGAGCCTTAACTTGGTGAACCACAGAGGGAATGAGCGTTTTGTGAGGGGAAAAAGTCATCATTCTGCCTTATCTAAGCAATTACCCTGGTTCTTCTTTAGTCACTAAATTTGTCATAAATCACTACTCTGAAGCCATGGAAAATGAAATATTTCTTTTCGTTCTTGAGAACAGAGAAAAGATTTCTCTCATTTTTATTCCCTTTCCATTCAAAACCGCTGCGCTGCTGCATGTGGCCTTAATGGATGAAGGATGCTGTTGATGTTGACTGACCTCTTAGCTCTTTGTTAACTGAGTATTGAGAGATCTGTGTTGCTTTCTCTAAAATCTCCTCCTCTGAGGAATGCCCTATCTGTCTCTGTCTTTATCATGTCGCTGAAATTGTCAAATTTTTATCTTTCAGTGTTACCCAAATAATTTTATGTAGCTCAGTGAAAATAAATCACTAATTATTATTTGTTGTGCTATTAATGGGCAAAGTTCTTGTAAGCAACAGATATTTTTTACCTGAAACCCTAAGAAATCTTTATTTTTCACAAGTGTTTCTAGAATTGTATGGATTGTTAATAAATGCATAATATGTGGATAGTTTTATATACTTATTAATAGATGGTAGCCTGATTTCCAGAGAGTTACTTTAAAACACTTTCCTGTAGTTATTTTAGAACACTTCTCTAAAGTGCTTGCTTTAGGTAAGCAATTTTACACAATTAGTAATAGTAGTTTTAAAAACTGTCATTCAAATTCTTTGATTTTTGTTCTTTTATTGACTGTTAAATTATATACAGTACCTTCTGTAGTTTTAGATGTAGTATTTCTCATATTTTTTTTTTCTGAATTCTGCTTTTTTTTCCAACAGGAAGGAACTTGAGACCTTCAAAGGTAAATTCTGTTTTTAGTTTTCTCCTAGAATATTTAGAAGAGTTATAGTAATTAAGTGAAATTAGTAAGAATCTGTTACAGTTCTACGTTCAATAGTGATCATTTTACATCAAACCCAGTAGCCTGTTTTTTTGTCAGTTCACCTGTTCTTGCTACTGATTTCTTTGGAAGAGTCATAAGTGTGGGAAGAACCCAGATGGTACCGTCGTTTCAGCTTGGTTTCAGAGAATCTTTATGTAATTTCAGTCTTTCTCTCAGTGTTCATTTTTAGAAGTTAAAGACTTCATGTCTCTGACTGGTTACTGTCGTTTCTAACACGAATGACTTTTGATGTGTGTCGCAGACTGTTATTTGTTAGACTTTTGTCTGGCTGTTTCTGGGAAATTTTCACGGTGTTATGTTACATTAGACATGAAATTTTTGAAGCTGAACTTGCTGGTTATAGCTTATAAGATGCATGTATGTGTGTTTGTGTATGTGTCCTAAATAATATGCAATTGCTAGGAATTCTGTCAAGTTTTATGGCTTTGTCACTGTGGTGTGTACATGGAATATACCTATTGCCATTTTCAGTAAATCATGAATTCAGGCTTACTTCACTTACTGATATTTGATCAGCTTGAGGATTGCTGTTATCTTTTGTTTTGAGTATGCTTTGCAAGTAGTATTTTTTTTAATGATAGGAAAGTCAAATCCATTGACTACTGCCAGTTAATTGTCCCTTGGAATTGAAAGAGGGGCTGGAAATTTCTATCAACTGCCTTTTCAGTTCTTTATCTTATCTCACCCTTATATAATGCTAAAAAGGAAAATAACAAAGCTAATATTAACAGACAAGCAAAACAGATTATGTAAAATGTCACTTTATCTGTAGCTTACCAAAACAACTCCTTTTCTCATTGATTTGACAGCTTTCAACACAGACTAACACAATGGAAAAACAAAAATAACGCTAAATTCATTCTGCTCCATGGCAAGACAGTAGCTTTGTAACCAAGCACCTGTTGCATGAGAGCCATGAACCCTCTTGTTTTTGTTTATATTGATTAGGGTTTTTAAGTGATTTTTGTGAAATTCAGGAGGATGATTTCCAAATTTATTTCTGTCTTTGTAGTTGTTGGAAATATTACAGAGGCAATTAATTTAATGCTGGGGCTATGCTTTTGACTTGAAATTGATGCCCAGCTACATAACTGGCTCTGTGATGAATGTAGTTGTATACGGATCTCCGATATGAGTCATAAATGCTTATCTTGGGTATTTGAACTAGTTTTCCAAAATGCAATGGAATAATATAAAGCTGTTCTGAAAGTATAATCACAACCAAGAGGAAGATTTTAGTGTGCTACAGAGAGGGAAAGAGATAACAAGAAGAAAACTGAAGTCTTTTCTGAGAAGATCAACAGCAATTTGTTGTAAATACAGGTATTATGACAGAGGAAGCCTGGTTAGAAGATATTCTAGGTCTGGTTTTAAATTAACTGATAAGTTACCAGCGTAATTTAGTCATTTAAAAGCACATACTTCTGATAGTATATTGCCTGCTATATTTTAAGGTTGAGAGTACCATTAGGTAAAGCATTGGTAAGATCTTATCTGGAATACTCGAGAAATATTCAAGAAAGGTTGGGTCCACCAGGAATAGACTAACTAAGGAATGATGGGGTAGTGGATTGTCTTTTACATTGCATGTTTTATACACTAAAAATAAAAACTTGACTAATTCACCCTTGCCTGGACTGGAATTCACCCTTGCCTGGAAAGTTTGTAGTTCATAAAATACCCAAAGTAGGAGCCAGGAAAGGAGAACTGTTTGAAGTAAGAAGCAGGAGAGAAGAAGGTGATACCTGGTATAAACTACATATGAGGGTGTTTAAACTGAGTTTTAGAAGAATGATTCCAGTTATCAGAACCTGAAGCTTGAGAGATTTGTGAGAAAGAAAGTATGAAGTGACTTGCTTTCATTAATAAGGGAGTGAATTCTCAGATCTCTTTCAGTCCTGTGTAAAAATAAAGGGGTTTTTTTGTTGGTTTTTTTTTTTTTGTTGGTTTTTTTTTTTTTTTTTGAGAGAGAGAGAGAGAATGATAGAATGAAAAAGAATACCAACACAACAGAATGTTATGGAAAAGCTGGAAAGATATATGGGAACTGGAATGTAATTCAGTTAAATAGCAGAGTCTGCTGAGGTTTTTTGACACTTGAAAGGAATCTGATGCACTGAGGTTGGGAGAGAGAAGGCTAGAGAGGTTTGTTAAATTCTGGTTCCCTTTCCTCATCAAACAAAAAGAATGAGCACGAAAGCTGTTTGATTGATTGATGCGAGTCCTTACTGCTTGGATCCAGTCTGGAAGGAATGTTTCTTCTGGGGAGGGTTTTGTTTCTGAGCTGAGGTGTAGCAGTCATGTTCAAGTGAAACGTTTCTCTTAGCCTTATATCCACTTGCATCTTTCAATACCCAGTGCAGTTGAACCCATTCTATGTTAACTTGTATTTTATTGAAAAAGAATACAAATGCCATTTTTTATAACAGTAACTTGTCATAATCTCTGTTAATTTCCATAATGCTAAAAGCTTTGTCTGCCAGATTAAGGATACGAGGTGTTTTATAGCAAAATATGCTGTATAAATACCTTAATTTCTGCAGCTGCAGGTAAACATATCTATAAAAACATTCCTAAATACTTTGTTAAAGTGGCAGAAAGTGAGTTCTATGCATGTTTTTCAGTGTCTAAATTCAAGTTACATGCATCATTGTTTTTCAGGACAGAAATTGTTTTTCAGGACAGAAAGTTTCACTGGAATTTAGAAATTGAATGATGTAGTCAGAGGGTCAAAATAGCACAACACCACATCACTGGAATTCGGTGAGGCATCCCAATGAATTTACAACAAATGCAGAGAAATATATGCTAGTAGTATATTGGCGTAGGTCATGATGATTAAGATCTAGCTCCACAGGGTACATGGACAGTCCCTCAGATCTGTTTTAAAACTGTATCTCTGTAGAGCTATATGTGAGTGTGACATATGACACACACACACACACACACACACACACACACACACACACACAGATGTAGTCTGGATGAGACCACTGTAAACCTCTGAATCTTCATATGTAGAGCTTAATAAACAGCTTAAAATGCCCTTAAGTTTATAATATTTAATCAAGATTTGATTTGGTAATAATAAAAAATCCCCTTTCACATAACTAAGATATACAGAATTGTTTCTTGTTTCATTTAGATCTTATCTTTGAATATTAGAATTTATTTTAGAGGACACTTGTGTAAGCTTGTATTTGTTTTTAGTGCTTGATAGATTGTTCCTCTTCAGTGAGTTTAAGAGGATATATCATTTTCACTTTTACAGTTGAGAGATCAGATATTAAATAGCAAATACATGTTGCCTTTCAGTAATGGGTTTGTTTTGGAAGTAAGTAAAATAGTCCATCTTCTCTCATCTTTTCTTGATGCTTGCAAACTAGTAGAGTGATGACTGCCCCATGCAGCCAGGCCTATGTTGTAAAAGAAGTCATATTGCTCTGGACACTTCAGACTTTTTTTAATAAATGGAAACCTTTTATATGATAGATTTAAATTGGCTTCTAAAAGTTCTTTTTTATTTAAAAAACATTGAAATGTCTGAATTACATTTCTGAAAACTAAAGCAGTATAAGCTTTTCAGAAATCAGCAACATGGAGCACTTTTGGACAATGAAGGTGACAGAAACTTTTGTCAGGGCAAATAAGCGGGTGGCTTTAGCTCCTGAGTCATGCATATTTCTAAGCTTTAAGAGGATTAGTTTAATTCTTGCTCAGGGAAACTGGTCACATGACCATTTTCTGCACTTCTGTTTGCACTGCAAAAAAACATGTTTCCACCTTTTTGATTCAAAGATTGCTCCCAAACAAGTCCTAGTAGTTTTTAAAACGTTTTCAAAATACTTTTTTTCTTGTTGAGAAAGAGACTGGTGAAAAAAATCTTCTCTCTTTCTTTTTCTTCCTAGGAAGGTAAGTTATTGTGCCACTTTTGAAATACAGATTTTGTCACTTTTCTTCATAATACTAAAATGCTTCTGTTCAACTTCCAGTTTTCCAGTCCTTCTATGAATAGCTAAAGCATATTTGTATCTGAACTTTAATTTCTTGGGTTTTACCATTCCCTTCCCCAAGAGTACATAGTAGTCTGTTGCCTCAATCCCTTCTTTATTGTGTTGTGTTCTGATGGCTGCCAAAATTAACAACTTTTTCCTCTTCTTCTCATCATCTTTCAGACGCATGGGCAACACAGTGTAGGTGTTCACAGCTCATGACTGACCCCAGTCTATTGCATTATGAGCACTGGTCGCACTTCAATTTCAATGTGAAATTGAATATTGTATATTGTATCCATATAATATACAACTATAAATTGTATTTATTCATATCAGGTAATAATAAGGTTTCTAACTTCATGTTGTATTTTGTGATTTCACATTTCAGTTACTCACTTGAAGCCTGTATGTAGGGGTGTCTCTGGTTGTTGGGTGCCTTATCTAGATCTATCTGTATCAGCTAGGCAGTCTTTCTGTTGCTAATGCATCTTGAGCATTTCCTTATGGTTTGAAAATAGACCATTCTTATTTTACCAAACTAGAAACCAGCAGACAGTGGTGTAATTCTATTACCAAAAAGCCAAGATGGAGTTAAAATTTCAAGGATACTCAAGTTTCAGATATGTTTTTTTTTCCATTACTTACCATAAATTGAAAATATTCTGGTAGATATCTAGATAATTCTGTGTGTTACCAGCTTCTTTCCCATCGCATGAAGCTTCTGGGAGGAGAACCTCTCAAATTTGAGTGCTTTGTACCTTGTTTTGTCTATGGCAAGAATGGGCCAGGGCTTCTCTTTGGGGTTACTGCTCTCCTGACAATGGTGTGATTTGAAATGTGGTCACTTACAGACAACCCTTGGGTGAAAGGCAAATGAGTTTATCTGCTTAAGCTTTTCATTAG